GAAAATTGGAAGTTAATCCATGCATTAAGAGTTATACACATTTCCCCATTTACTGTTAGTGATGACAGGCAAAGCAGCTACTGTTGGCATTCCTTAAACCAGAGAAGAGATATCTTCCTCTAGGCCTTCTGCAACCCCCTCATATATGCTGGCTTTGGTTCTGTTTACATTTGTTATTAACATTTGTCCAAGATGATTGGATCACAAGTCAACAACTTTGAGATCGGTATTTATGCTCAAATTCCTGTCAGCAGTGTAGTGGTACTGCCTCGGTAGTATTGCCCTGATAAGGGTTACTGTAGAGGAACATTAAGGGCCATGACAAAACAAATACTTTTTGTCATGCTGTCATGTCAGTCCAGGATCTGCTGCTCCTGCACCACAAGTGAGTTCGAGTGGGGATTGCAGGTTACAATCAAACCCTGGCCACCCTCTTCACAGGCCTGCACATGGGGTATGTACTTTAATCGCTGAGCAAAAACCTCTTTCTATAATGGGCTATAATGGGCAAATTCAGACACCCTGTTTATTTGCATGCAAGGTGAATGAGCCTTGACCTGGAATTGTGTGATAATAAAAAATGTGATCACTACTTCCTTGTGCTCACTTGTCATTTGATCACCCACTCTGATCTACCAGATCAGAATGAGCCTTTTATTACAGATTAGTTCAATTTGAGCCATTATCACTAAAAGTTCACTTCACCCTGGTTGAAAGGCCCAATGATTTCTCAAAAAATAACTGAATATGTGCCCCATAACAGGGATGTAATCCATCTTTTGGGATGGGTAAAAAAATCAAATGTTGAGACATCAAGTCACTTTGCTATTCATTACTGATTTAAAAATGAGAATCTGACATAACCAGCTCACATTTACCTTTTCAATACACTCCAAAATATAAATCCAAATGGTTTTGTACTATATCTTGTAAGTATATGTTTGACAAGGACAGATACATGTCTTATTCTTAGACAGACATAATTATTAAGAAATGAATTGCTTTTAATTAAGTAAAAAAAACAAAACAAACTGTTTATGTGGTAAGCAAAATATATTTGTTTAGTTTCCTGAAGTAAGCATAATGCTTTGATTCAAAACACTTATTAAGAAAATTCTGGTTCCACTTCTGCATGTTTTTTGTTTATCTATAACAAGCAATAAGGGCCTTATTTCTTATGTGTAATATCTTGAAATATGACGCTTATTTGGATCTGTAATAAGGCTTATATATAAAGTCTAATAAGACAACGGAAATGTGACCAAAAAATAGCTTGTTTTTGAGTTTTTGGCAGCAAATGTTTTTCTGGATTATCTGAAACCAAGTTGCTTCAGTGTTACGAATAAGAATAACTTTATTTATTTATGCTTTTAAGTTAAAAATCAACTAGGCCTACTTGTCACTGATAAATCTTATTGTATCATGTTTGTGCATATAAAGACAATGTCCGTCCCCCATGCATATATTTTTTAAATTAAAGTAAGTTATAGAGTCCACAATTCATGTGTTTGCCCAAGTAAATTATGCATAGCTACAGTATGTCTGAACACTGGATCTCACAGCTGCAGAACAAGAAGAAGCAGTGCATGAAGTGAGGTAGTATTTTTAATCTCCTCCTTAGGCAGCTTCATTAAAAATTCGGCAACATAACCTATACAAAAGCGAAAGAGTAAACCAGTTAAGTTCCATTAACGCTCAATCACACTGTACAAACTTTGTCCTCTCAAATTATAGAACTAACATGTGGCATTTGCAACAGAAGCAGACAATTTGCTACCCTGCATTGACCCTGCAATTCTGACATGAACTAATGTTGACTCATGGCCGGAATACTGTATGAGTCCTTTCTGATGCTAATGTCGCTAACCACCTACTTAACCACATAGCTCTCAGTCTCCATACAGCTCCACTCATCCTTATCCCAGTGTATGGGTATGCGTGTGTGTGGTAGACAGAGAGCAAAGGTAAAGAGCAGAGACAGGAAGGAGGAAGTACTTGACTTTCACAGGGTAAGAATAATACTACAGCAGTCACTGAGTGTTCAGTTAGGAATAATTTAGACATCCCATTCATCTTTCTGTAGTACATGAAAGATTAAGGTTATGTTCAATGTGTCTGGGAGTCCCAAAGAGTGAGTTTGCTCATTACATGTCCAGGTGGCTGTAGCTGACAGGCTTGTGTTGGTGGAGATAAGGGTCACCAGTAAGCAATCTGACCTTTTAATACTACTAGGATGCTTGCTGCTTGGCCTGGCATGGCACAATGCAATGCTGGAGCAAGGACAGGTGGTCATTAAAACTGCTGTAATCCCCTCCATGAATAGCTCATGTGCAAGAACAGAGCAAGAGAGAGTGAAAGGACGGAGGAAAAGACAAAGAGACGAGGCAGACAGACCATCAGGAGGAGAGAGAGATAGAGAGAAAGAGGTGAGGATGGGGAGCGTTTGATGCACGGACCATGGGGCTCTTTAGCACAGTCTGCAGGCCGTGCTTCAGAGCGGATGTGTTAACAGTTTCAGGCTCAATGGAGGGAGAAATCCCCACAAAGGGAGGTGTACAAATATTGTGGGAAATCCGTCCGCTCTTTAATATTTCATGAAGGCCCACAATCTATTCATGGGACTCCATTCCTTTGGAGGGGCCCGCATTCAGGCTCACTCCGCAGGCTCAATGGGCAGCCCTTAATTGAGTGCCCGCTCATTCTTCATCTCCCTGGCAGATTGTTCTCCATGAAAGCCCCTGCCTCTTCATCCTCCTCTTCTTCTCCCTGAGAGTGGCCAAAGAAAAGGGGGCATGCCTTGCTGGTGGTGCATGTGGGAGAGTGAATAAGGAAAGGGAAGGGAGGGGGTAGGGGGTAGTTGTGGATCAAATATGATAATAGGGCAAGAAGGGGTAGTGGTGTGCAGAGAAGTGGTGGTAAGGGGCTAATCCTCAGGGTGGGCAGTGGAGAGAGGGCAAGAGGAGGGGGTTACATTCCTCTAGATGGCAGGAGTGTGTGTGGTAAGGTGTGTGTCAGTAGGAGGTGTTCGTGTACGGGGTGGTGCCTGGTTTTGGCTGCTTGGTGCAGTAAGGGCTGGTGTACGTTTTCTTGTCAATTTTGTCCCCATGATTGAAAAGTATTTGGATGCCAAGATTGGTAACAGCAGCATCAAATAAGGCATGGAGACCAAAATGTTTTTCTGTTTTTGGCTGTTAACATATTAAAGACTGATATGTACTTTGAAACCTCAGGCACATAAAACAGAGACAAAATCCCCCTACATCAACCATTAGTCTCTGAAGAGGTTTTATGAAGCCCAACAATGGCAGCAACATTTGAAATGCTCAAAAAGCCTTGCCTCTGAAACAGAAGCAGGCCTGTCTGTCAACTTACAAGTACTTACATTTTTAAAATGTATGCATAACTTAATGTGTAACTCTTGTTGTACAATATAGTCTTGTATCCTGTGTGAATAAATAAAAACATGTAAATTAAGAAAAAAGAAGCAAGTTCACCCCAAAAGACATGAGTTGTCTTTTGACTTTAGAAACACTCCAGGGACAAAGGGTGGATCAGCTGTAAGGCGAGGAATCAGATCGATGCAGATCTTGTCCATGGACAGGTTAACAAATGTGTCGATGAAGATCTTGCGGCCTGCTGTCAAGCCTTCATCATAAATGTACACCTCATGCCTGCAATGAGTGCTTTATCCAGCCTAAAGCCATCCCAGCATCCATACTGAAGGTGGACAGCCAGCTGGGAGTGTGACCCAGGGGCTTTGGCATAATCATGGCTTCTGTGGGTATCCAGCTGCAGCCCAGGTTCCTGATCCCTGATTAAAGGTCATCCCGCTCCTTCTAAGGGCCTGTAAGACCCCAGGAGCCTGGCTCACTCCTAGTGGCTCCCCCCCACCCATCCAACGTGTGTCCAACAGGCTTATGCTAGCTCGTGAGGGACGGTGGAGACCTGCAGAGTAGAGTCCCAGAGAGAGGAAAATCCTCCATATCCACAGGACAGTCACACACACACACACACACACACACACACACACACACACACACACACACACACACACACACACACACACACACACAGAAAGCACTCGATGCATAATTTATCCCTGGAGATCACGCCTGGTCTCCAGCCCCAGCACCCTCCTGGTGGAGTGTGGCAGAGCCATGCTAAATGGATTCTGCAGAGGAAGAGATTTAAAGCTTTCACGGAGCTTGCTGGGTTCCAGGCGGCTGCAACTCATGGCTTTGATGGTTTGTTCTCAGGTTCATTTCTGGGTTTTGTAGAGACTTTTCAGGGGTGAAGTGCATGACTAAGTGAAACTGGTTTATAGAAATATTTGTAAAAACACATGGCCCAATCAAATGTTTAAAGTTGGTTACTTTATGTGATTTAAAAGGTCTAGTCACACTTGTTGCTGTAGAATTTAGCTCTAAGTTTTGATCCTTTGATCATTGGATCAAAACTTTTTCACGTTTCACTGTCCTGTCACCCAGCAGGAACATAAAGAAGTTGTGGCAGAGGGTACTGACTCTCTGTACTTATTTTGTAACACTAAAATAGCAAAGTTACTGACCAATGTTCAACTTAATCCTCATCTGCAAGCAAACCTTCAAAAGGCAGAACAATGTTGGTTAATGATACGGGAACAGATTGTTGAAATTCTTCTTCCCACCTCACATCTTTCAGGCCTCACCTGAGCTGGACTTGATGATGGGCCACAGGCCCTGCTGAGAGTCTCTTCCCTATGTTTTTTTTGTTTTTGTTTTTATGCATTAAGGCCATTTACCTGATAACTAATTTTGGTTAAACTTCACCAGATAGATTTGTTAGGTAGGTTTGGACTGCAGTTATTCCCCCTACATTAAAAGTTATTTCTTGCAGAGTAAAGAGGCAGTGTTATGCTGTTAATCCTGAAGCAAAACTGGAACCCACTGCTTGTATCAGAAAGGACTTGTGCACAGTCTTGTAACTTGATTGTATTTTGCTCGTTAAGTGAACAAGTGCAGATGATTAAATTCATGGCCATAATCCCCTGCTGCCCATGGGCTCAAGAGGAAGCGGTTCAGGAAAAGTCTAATCCAGCCATCTCCGGATATGGGACACCCTCACTGTGCCGCTCCACTGGGCTTTGTATCAGCAGGTATTAACACCATAAGTGCCGGTTGAAGTACAAACCTGCTTGGCTAAAACTTCTGACAAGAGGGAGTTTTTTTTCTTCTTTTTATCAGCTCATAATTTCAAGTAACTCCTTTTTTTGGATGGCTGCATTTCAGACTGTGTCAGAGTTGATAAAAGCAAAGGTCCTTTGTGTCCACATATTCCTGATTCTCATTTTATTCATTGAGCCCCTTAAAGCTTACTCAGGCTTTACATCTGTTGCTCCATCCTTTGAGTGTTGTGGTAAAAAGTTTGACCTGCTATAACCCTGGTCTATAAATTAATTCTGCTAAGTGGCAGCACACAATCCCTCGAATTATTTATACTTTTACTATTGGTCAGGGTGTCACTTAGATAAACACAGCGGAGGTTCATCTCATCTGAGCCACAAAAAGCCAGAGTGTGCCGCTACCAATGGCTCAGCCGAACTTTGACCCTGGCAGGTCACAGAGAGCATTTGTCCCTCGATAATTGGACAGAAGGGCCCTTTCGCTCTTCATTTAACCTTTGGGGTCCAGATCTTTCTTCCCCGACTACCATAGAGGCCCACAGTCCTGACCCAGTGTTTTCAGACCCATCTTTCCTCCCCCATCACAGGCCTTTGAAAGCTGGAGAAAAGCTGGAGTGTGCTTACCCTGTCAGAGACAATGGCAGAGTTAGTGACCCCTGACCCGGCAGGCTGAGGCCTTTCTTCCTGGATCAGGCGCTGCCTTTCGCTACGGTGGGTTATTGCTCCACAGCTTGGCAACAGAAAGAGGGTAAACACTTGTTAAGATTCCTCTTCTCTGGGCATGCCCCCAACTTCTTTTCTCTCTTGGTTGCTTGGGACGATATTTTTTTCTCTTTTAGAGGGTTTGTGGGTCTGTTGAAGGATAAACAGGAGTTAAAGCAGGTCTGCTATTTGAAATTCTGGCTGCAGCTTTGCAATCCATCATCCCGACAGCTCTTTGTCACTGGTCCAAAGGGGACTGGAGTCACAGTTTCTCTGGGACAGAGAAAAATACATCAGATAAAAGGATGTAAGTGTTTTGGACATGCATCTGACCATGTTAGGAAGTGTTTTGAAATGTATTACCAGAAATACACTCCCTGGTAAAAGCATGTTTGCTATAGGCCTTCCAAATTTGAAATACAAGTCTAAATGTTTGAAAAATGTGCCCCTCCGTGAGAAAAGCTTGAAGTACGTACAGGATATAACTGGTTGGAGTGTACAGAAAATTCACTGTTCAAAAACCATAAAACTCCTATAACTTTAAATACTGAAAACATGAACTTCTGCAGAGTACTGTAGATTACTGTAGATTGTCTCCAATGTGAAGAAATGATGGTTTGTTAGCTTGTTTTGGATTTTTTTTTAAAACGACGGCCGTTACTTTGAGCTGATTTTGATTTTGTTTGTTCTTTTACCTAGTTTCCAATTTTATAGGGGGATTTACTCTGTGATTAGTTTGTGACACTAAATCCAACAAAATTGGGATTTCACTCCATCCAGAAGTACTTCCTCTACTTAATCTCTTGAGTGCTGCCCTGGATCCTTTTTTGTCTGCACAGTGTAACCAAGGAGACGATGTTCCTCCCCACCACTGCAGTGGTCACTGAGGAGAGACGGCCAAGCTCTTGTGTCCAGATGCTGAGCATGCGGCCGTGGCAAGACCAGCATCCTGTGAGGCAGCCACAAACATATGGGCTGAAAAGGAGGACTCCTCTGGAGCTGCTGGCCTTCTCCTCGGGGACAGAAGCCCATTGTCCTGGGCCTGCCCTCCATGCCGCTTAATGGTGCAGAACAGCACTGTACAGGATTGTAAACTGCTCTCTGCTCCTTTTGCCCTGTCGGCCCTCAATAGTAGGGCCCTCTGCCTCTCCCTCTCACTCAGTGGGTGTTTTAGTGCCCTCTTCTTTCATCCCTTTCTTCAGCCTCCTCCTCCCTTTTGCTACTTTTGCTTGGTTGCTCAAAGTTCGCTTGACTGATGGTCTAATTGTCATGGAACAATTAAGCCATCTGATTTCTCCCCTTTTCTCTTGTCATGTCTGCTTTGTTTTAGAATGGGGCTGCCTGAGTACAGGAAAGGGCTGGAGGTCACTTCAATATCTGTCTGAGCTTTAATGTAAAGCCCCCAGCATGTGGTCCTCAGGGATACAGAACTTTACAGATAGAGCTCTAAGTTAAATATGATACTTCATCCCTTATTTTTTCCGTTGTGATTAAAAATGTGTCAGTAAAATCACCACAAATATTTTAAACTTTAATCAGCTCTGACTGGTAAAGAAGTTTTGAGGGTCAGATTCCCCAAAACATGAGGCAGGGTGATTTATAGTCCCTTGTGTAATAATCAGTCAGCTTTAAGACCTCCCCCTTGTAAGCCTAATAAATCTGTCCCTCTTTCTGTAGAGATGAAGAAATATGCTCCCTTTTAATAGACAGGTGAACCAAACAGCTGGGAGACAGCTTTCCTCAAGATGGGATGTCTGCACACTTTTACCCCCGCCACTATTGTCAGTGTAATGTCACATCTGTGACCCTGTCTGCGCTCTTCTTCCATTCAGTCTTTCATCCTCTTTTCTGCTCATAGCTTCCGCTTCATTTCATACTGTCTCAGTTCCTCCCAACGCAAGGAGGCGAGACTCTGAACCAAAGAGCTGCAACAAGACGAGTAGACCCTCATGTCTAATCCTGTTTTAATTTGACCCTCCTACACAAATGGGCAGCTATTTTTCACACTGAAGGACAGGGGCTGTAAAACTTTCAGATATTTGATGTTGGACTACATGTGTGCCGCTTGGATCACATTTTCCTATCATGTTCTTTAAAACAGGAAAGTGAAAAATCAAAGAACATGGGATTTCCCAAAAAAGGGCTATGAGGTTAGTCTGTCCTCGGAGCCTGCTGAAATTGGAGACTTGTTTACCCTCCAACACATGGCTGTTGGGTGATAGAAATGCTTTGATTATGATTTAAAACTTGAAAAACTTAAACTTCTGAGTTTCATGAGATCCTTTAAAAACTTTCTCCAGATTCACTCTTCTTCCAGCAGCAGCTTCCCCAAACCTGGCCTTCTTTTATGCCTCACCCAATTTATTTACATATTTATTGAAAAAAAATACATATATAAAATCCATTTTAGTCCATTTCATTGAGTCATCTATTTACTCTTTAAAAAAAAGTTAAATAAATAAAAGTGCAGAACCAAAGTGATCAATCACTGTTTGAATTGGTGGATATGAAAACAAAATGAATCATCTGCTTTGGCCTTCACTTTACAACATTTCAGCTTAAGTCTTACTATGGTGCACCAGCATGTTGACGGCACTTATAGCAAAACAGCAGATGAGAAAGGGTTGTGAAAGAATTGAGGATAAAGCTACCAATATAGAGCTTCAGAGACTTGCCTTTACATGTATGTTCAGTACGGTTCAGTTCTAAAATGATAAGCAGTCTTTAAAAAAAACAAACATAAAAAAATAGCAGTTTAACAAAGTTCCCTGTAAGTAAACTATGTGAAGAGGATTTCTACAGGTTTAAATTCAGAACTTTTTGGCTTAATCTTAAAGCTCAGCTCAGCTGACTCCAGCCCCCTCACTTGGTTTTCAGGCTTACAAATTATGCTATGAATATCTGCTATCTTGTCACTGGTGGTCTGGTTAGCTTTTGGATATCATGGAAAGCATTTAAATCAAATTAAATCAATTTTGAAAACTTTTAAGTTGTTTTCAGAAGTTTTGAAACAGTCATAAACTAAAAACTACATCTCTTCATAGACTACATAAGTACCAAAACAGATAGCATCAAAAATGGGATGTCTGAATATTTAGTTTCAATGAATGGGACTTCTTCTGCAGGAAAGGTGCAAGATGGAGAGATTTACTTTGTGCTACAGAAACGACCTCCATTTACAAAGATCATAACTGAATGCAGCTGGTATTAGTGTGGCACCATCTTGTGTTACTACTACTACTGTTGTGACAACTGCTGCTGCCTGCTGACTGTGAGAGCAGCATAAAGTTGATGGATTTGGATTAAAGATGCCAGACAGCCACTGATAGATGTACTTTGATTGGACTATCTTATCTTTATTTAGAGTTTACGTTTTTGACATATGGTACAAGAGATGAAATGGAGAACAATTGGACTATTTACCCAAAATGTGTGCTGAAGTTGGTCTAAGCATCCCAGGCTAATTGAACTCATTGCAGCAGTCGTTGGTTTGGCTCTTGGTCATGACCTCTTGCTGCATGTCTTCCCTCATTTATACTTCCCATATTTCCTGTCTCTTTAGCTATGCTGTCTAAAAAAGGCCAAAATAATATCAATATAACAGTAAAAACTTTCGTATTCCTCTGCACGGCCAGTTAATAAACTTTCCTCTCATAAAGATAATTACAGGGATTCATTTCACAGTTTCACAGTTTGTGTTTTGTGCAAAGTTAACACTTTTTTCTGGCTGTTGAAATACAGATAGGATCTCCATTGATTTTTCAAAATGTCTTGAGCGTTGTCATCAGAAGTACATAAGATATAAGAAGTAATTATGAAAGAGGACAGTTAAACACTTTATGTCAGAGACGACATGAAAATGCTCTACGGATGCTGTGGGGAAATGCCAACTCAGTAATAGTGAACCTATTATCCAATAAGTTTTTGCCTCTGAATGCTTTATTTGGGGGTTAACCATTTTCTTCAGTGTAAGCCATGCACAAAAAATGGTTGTATACATGCTCCACGATGTTGTACAGAGTGATTCAATCATGTACAACATCATTTTCTTTCTATCTTTATAACTTTTTCCTTTTTTATTGCTTTCCCAATTTCCCCAAAGGATTTTTAAAAATCTTTTGAGGGAACATATTCACAGTTTACTCTTACAAATGTCAGCTTGACAAGCCCAGAAATCCAATTTTTTTTAAATTGTGCGTCTGAATATGTTTCACATCCCAGCGTGTGGTTAATGATCAGCCTGTGAGGCTTGCTGTGTGACAGCAGAGCGGGCCACTGTGGTGCTAATGAGAAGAGAGGACGGCCAGGCCTCCCCTACCACACATACAGCCTTTTGTCTCTGCCTCTGCTCCCCATCATTAGCTTAATGTGTCCCTCTCCTTCCACTCAAAAGCCCACTGCCAGTTTGGCAGTGCGTTCACAGATGCAAATCCCTGCCCAGTGCTAATGGAGGTAAATGAAAATTAATTGATTCTCATTCAGAGGCCTTTTTAGTCGCCTGTCCCCCTTCTGTGTTTTCTTAATATGCAGACCTTGCCCCTCCACCTTGATGATTCAAACAAGCTGCAATGTCTTCGCCATTGCTATGCAGAGTGGACGACACAAAAGTGAGCAAGGGAGCACATCGTCCTGACACCTCGGTATGCATGAGATCTGTATCTCTACTCTTTGAGTTCGACCGAGGCCTGCGGTGTACCCTTTATGTGAAACAGTTAAGACTTAATTTCTGCATTTTGCTGCAGAGGCAGTGAGAAGCACATGGGAATTACTGTATTTTCAAGCCACAGTAAAGAATTGACTAAGCACAGAAAACCTTGCTACTTCCAGATTTGTTCGTCAAGCAGATACTGTACTTTCTGTTCATACATACAGAGAGAAAGAGAGTTATGACGAATATAGAGAGTTTTAATTCAAACCAAAGCTTTTCACTTTCTCCAAAGGTGAACATAACAAATCACTATTCCTGCTGTAACCACTAATTTCAGGTTTCACTGATATATTGCAAATAATTTCTTTTATCATCTTTATTTACAACAATGGGACTGACTTACATCAGCAGAGTTAAGCAGCAAGGACTGATCTAATTTTCATAATTCTGAGCAGCTTAAACAAGACTTAACATCATCTCTGCTTCTGCATGGACTTTCCTGAAAGACATGAAACACCTGCTATCATGTGACTGTGGTAGAACACTGGTATTTATCCATGAGTTGAGTCCCTTTTGTCATTACTGCAACCTTTTTACACACAAAGCTGGCACAGTTAGAACAAGGACTACTACACAGAATATGCAATCAGGTAAGTTGTTTAAAGTCTGAAAAACAATCGCCTTGACGATGTCATCAGTTATCTAAGCCTGGCTCAGGGACTATAAAATTGAGCATTAAGCCTATAATTCCAGCAAATGGGGGAAGATGATCTGGTTAAGGTTGCTTTTCATCTACATTATGTTCAGTGCAGAATCATTCTGGGTCCGCTCAGTATCAGAGCATGAAGATTTAGTTTAGACGGCTTTTGGCTGCTTCTGCAATTGAAGAGTAGCAGATCGATCTGCAGAAGTGGGAGTATTCAGATTTTTTACAACAGTCAAAGTATCTATAGCGCACTAGGTCATAACACTTCGCTGCTGCTTCTGCTCTGCTAATACCATACAAATGTGTCTTTAGAATTTTACTGCTGGAGATGTTGGAGGTTGCACACACAGTAGGTAGAAATGTATGATTATCTGCCAGTATTGACAGCATTATTGTTTATTATGCCACAAGAGAAAGAGGTGCTGCCACAACAAGCTGAAAAGAGTAAAAATAGTGTTTCCTTTGTGTTTTTGCTGTTTTAGAGGACAGTACTCAGATTGTACTTTAAAAATATGTGCCCTAAATTTCTGAGAGGGGAAAAGTCCTAGAATTTCAGGTTTTCACCAGATAGCAGTACTAAAAACACAACAAGAGTGCCAAAAGCTGAGGCATGACAAAATCACAGATTGTACAGCAGCTGTTGAACCGACTCTTAGTCAGACTAAGATTTTGCCAGCTAGTTGCATATATGGAACAGTATGGAACAGT